CCGAGCCCCGGCGATGGGCAGGGAGTGTTTGTCACCTCAGCTCCCCAGGACGAGGGCTCCCCTGTCCCTGCGCTCCCTGGCAGTTCGTAGCCGGGGTAACACAGGACCTGTCCCTGGGTGCAGGCCGGTTGCTCTGTGCCGTGCCAGCCGAGAGGGCGTTGGCGTTACCGGGGTAGACAGCTGCTGTCTAGTGTGCTGGGTTGTGGGGATTGAGGGTTATGGAAGGTCCGACAGGCCTTGGGCTGGCCCTGTCCGTGTGCTGCCCCCGAGGGCTAGTGGCCGTGCTCTGCCTGGCTGCGTTCGGGCTCGGCGGGATGGAAGTGATCAGCAGAGGGCCGCTCTGCCAGGAGGGAGGCGGCCAGACCCCCAGCATCGGGCTGACCGGGGCGGCTTTCCACCTGCAGGCCAAGCTGCGTCTGGAGATGGAGATGGAGCGCCTGCGGCAGACCCACTCCAAGGAGGTGGAAAGCCGCGACGAGGAGGTGGAGGAGATCAGGCAGTCGTGCCAGAAGAAGGTAGGGCCAGGGCGTCGCTCTGCCCTCGCTGCTGGGCAGGGGTCCGTGGAGAGCCGGCTGTCTCCCTGCTGCCTGGCACCCACGTACCTCAGGAGAGAAGGGGGGGGCTCTTTCCTAGCCATTAATCCCCTCTCTCCTGTTCCACTCCATGATATCCCTGCCCCGCTGCATAGTGCCTCCCCCCCCCCCAAGACCCGGTGCTGTGAGGCTGGCGGGAGGGCCCTGTGATGCGATGGGCGGGTTGTGTTAATCTGGCTCCCCACGCGGCTCGGCCCCTGGCCTGGCGAGTTTAACCAGGCGCTCGCCCATCTGCTCGCTCTGCCTGCGCTCGCCAGGTCAGGCAGCGCGCTGGCTCCCCTCCAACGAGTGCAATGGCACAGGGACTCGCGCCAGCTGAGGCAGCGTCGCCCCACTTCCCCACAAGGCTGGGGATCAGGTAACTCCGGTGCCCTCAGTCCGGATTCATAGCCCCCACTGGCCAGTCCTAGGGTCTCTCCTGAGCTGGGACAGTTCGTATCCCCAGATTGCTTTGTGGGTCATGTCTGCAGGAACTGGGGGGGGTGGGGGGGGGCTGACTAGGACAGGGACCCAGGGCTCGCCGAGGGGCCCCCCAGCAGGGAGATGACTGGCTAGTGCAGGTTAGGGCCCGATCTGTGCTCGCTGCCCTGCCCCCCCCTGTCCCCCCGCACCCCTCGCTCGGCCCCCCCCCCCTCCCCCCCCCCCCCCCGCCCCCCCCGCGCACCCCTCGCCCAGCCCCCCCGGCCCGAGCGTGCCTCATGGAAACCCTCTTGCCCTTGTGTGTGGGGTGCCGGCGCAGCTGAAGCAGATGGAAGTGCAGCTGGAGGAGGAGTACGAGGATAAGCAGAAGGTGCTGAGAGAGAAGCGAGATCTGGAGAGCAAGCTGGCTGCGGCTAGTGACCAGGTACCGCCCGGGCGAGAGATCCGGCTGGGGGTGCAACGTGGAGCTGGGCCTCCCTGGGGTTACTGGCCAGGCCTAACCCCAGCCGGGCGCGCTCATCGGGGGCACTGCCAGGAGTAGGAGGCTTGGCGCCGGCATGGCAGAGTGGGGCGTGGGCACCCCGGCTGGCTAGTCCCTAAGCCAGAGCTGGCCCCTCTGTGTCTGCCCCAGGAGCACTCCGCTGGCCTGCCGCTCTCTGGGGTGGAGCGGGCTGTGGTCCCTGGCTGGGAGCTCAGAGCCGAGGCTGGCAAGCAGCTGCCTCTGCGGAGGGAGCGTGGGCCCGGCGATGCAGGGCGAAAGGCCGGGCAGGCAGAGCAGAGGGAGTGCGGCGCCCGCTCTGTGCCCGGGTGGCACCGTCCCCTGCAAGTGCTGAGCTCCCGCGGGCTGGGGGCTCTGGCCATCGCAGGTGTGGCGCTCAGGTTCCAGGGGGAGCCGTGCCCGTTGCTGTGGGGGTGGGGGACCTCTCCGGGATGGAGCGTGTAGAGCGGGCATGCCCTCGAGCCCCTGCATGGCCTCCCCACGCCCAGGTCAGCCAGCGGGACTTTGAGACGGAGAAGCGGCTGCGCAAGGATCTGAAGAGAACCAAGGCGCTGCTGGCGGATGCCCAGATCATGCTGGATCACCTGAAAAACAACGCGCCCAGCAAGAGGGAGATCGCTCAGCTCAGAAACCAGGTGTGCACTGCCCGCGCGCTGCGCCTGGCCAGCCTTGTCCTCCGTGTCCCCCGAAGGGGGTTCCCAGCCCTGGGCATTCAGCGGCTCTGAGCGAGGGAGAGCCAGGGGAGCTCAGGGCCCTTGTGGGGATCCCTGTGCTCTAGACTGCCACCCCCCACCCCCTGATTCCCACGGCATGCGCTGGCCGTGTCTGGCACTGCTTTCCGTGCCTGCCACTCCTGAAACGGCTCCTTGGCATCACCAATGCTGCTGCCTCCTGGGCACGCAAGGCTACCGCGGCTGCTGCCCCCTGCCCCTCCCATGCCATGCCCGTTGCGTCGCCTATACCGTGCCCAGTGTGTTGCCCATGCCGTGCCCGGTACTGACAATCCCCGTGTCGGGCTCTCTCTGCAGCTGGAGGAGTCTGAATTCACCTGCGCCGCGGCGGTCAAGGCCCGCAAGTCCATGGAGGTGGAAATCGAGGATCTTCACCTGCAGATCGATGACATCTCCAAAGCCAAGGCAGCCGTGAGTGCCTGAGCCGGTTCCCGGCCCGCGGGGCTCCGCTCCCCCGTCCCCCGCACCGAGCCGGTTCCCGGCCCGCGGGGCTCCGCTCCCCCGTGCCCTGCGCCGAGCCGGTTCCCGGCCCACGGGGCTCCCCTCCCCTGTGCCCTGCGCCGAGCCAGATGCCGAGGGGCTCCTGTCCTCACCCCAGTGTTCTGCCAATGCAGTGTTCCCAGCAGGCTTGTGCAGGCCGCTCCGAGCCCCATGGATCATGACCATCCTAGAGCCTTATGGCTATGGCAGGCAAAGGGGGCACCAGCTTCCAGCAGGCATGAGCACCTCGAGCTAATTCCTCCTGGCTCTCGTCATCAATCTTGCTTACGCAGGGGAAAGCCCCTGAGCCCACCCCCGAGAGCCAGTCCGTCCCTGGCCTGTGTCCAGCTCAGGCTCGGCGGTCTGGTGCGCTGGAAGGTCCATTATTGTCATGGGTTCTGGTCCGCCCCAGGCAGAACCCATCTGGTGCCCAGCTATGGCAGGACGGAGGGGCCCAGAGGTGCCTGCTGCTGGTGCTGGCTGGGCTGGGGGAGCCTCGGGGGCAGTGGGTGGGGGGCGGCAGTGTACGTGGGGCTGGGCGGCCTCACCTCCCTCTCCTCTCTCCCCCCCCCAGCTGGAGGAGCAGCTGAGCCGGCTGCAGCGGGAGAAAAACGAGGTGCAGAGCCGCCTGGAGGAGGACCAGGAGGACATGAACGAGCTGATGAAGAAGCACAAAGCATCAGTGGCCCAGGTGATGCCACCCACGCCCAGCGCCACCAGTCCTGTGTGCTGCCAGCCCCCCTTCCCCTCCCGGCGCCCCTGGCACCCTGTGCACGTCCCCCGGGCGCCCCGTCCCGTCCCCCCCAGCACCCTGTGCATGCCCTCCCGGGCACCCTGTCCTCTTCTCCTCTCCCCCCCCGCACCCTGTGCACGCCCAGCCCCTGGGCGCCCCGTCCGCACCCTGCTAGCCCAGCCTTGCCCCACAGACACCTCTCTGTGGAGGCTGGAAGTGAGGCGAGCCATTAGGTGTCTTCACCCCCTGTGTAGTCTCAGCTGAGCTCTGGCCATCCCTGGCATCCCAAAGGGCACCGCTGGATTCTCTGCCGTGAGCCCGCCCAGGAGAGCTGGCTCGGGGGGCTGCCCGGAGGCTGGCAAGTCCCACTGCCTGCCCTAGGGGTGCTGCGCCCTTAGCCAGGCCCTGGGGCTGGGGGCGGGCAGCTGGCCTGGCAGTGGATTCTGAGCAGCCCAGACGCTCTCTGCCCACAGGCCTCCCGGGATCTGGCCCAGATAAATGACCTCCAGTCCCAGCTGGAAGACGCCAACAAAGAGAAGCAGGAGCTGCAGGAGAAGGTAGCCGGGTGGCCTGGGTCGTCATCGGGGGAGGGGGGGAGTGTGCTGCATGGCCTTTGGGTTGGGAGGGGCTGGGCCCCTGCACTGCAATCCGGGACACGAGCGACGTGAGTCCGGCCGTTTGCGGAGACCCGCGTGCCGCTGCGGGGCCACGGCCAGGTCGTTTAGCCTGACCCTCTCTGCAAGAGCCAAACCGGGGAAATGGCTGGCCCCAGCCGCCCACGCTGCATGCAGGAGTCCGGAGATCCTGGCAGAGCCCAGCAGCAAGCACAGGGCCAGCCACCCAGCATGGGCACTGCCTACAGAGAGCCCCTACCTCCCTTGGCGATGGTCCCAGCCTGGCTCTGCCCAAAGGCACCAGCCCCTGCCGCTCTCCCAGGGAAGAAGCCGTTTGGGCAAACGGGCGCATGGCCTGCAGTGCCCCCCTGTCGCCGGGGGCTGGAGAGAAGGGAGCACCCGGGGGCTGGTTCAAGGGGCTGTGTCTGTCTGCGGCTGAGCCGGAGAGCTGCCGCATGTGCTGGCCCGTCTGGCCCTTCTCCCGATCCGGGACCAAGCCTTGGTTTTCTCTTGGCGTGACCTGAGCTGCTGCCTGTCCTGTCCCCAGCTGCAAGGGCTGCAGAGCCAGCTGGAGTTCCTCGAGCAGTCCATGGTGGACAAGTCTCTGGTCAGCCGGCAGGAAGCCAAGATCCGGGAGCTGGAGACTCGGCTAGAGTTCGAGAGGACCCAAGTCAAACGCCTGGAGGTAGGGAGCTCCGGATGGTCCTGGCCCTGCAGGTCGTGACGTTGGGGGAGGCGGGGAGCCGGACCGCCTCTGAGCACGGCGGGGAGCAGGGCAGCCCCATCAGCGCAGCGGGCTCCCCAACGAGCGGGTCTGCCAGTGGCTCCCGGCCTGGCCTGTACACTGGCTGCGAGCTCCCTGGGCATCTGGTGATCTGAGTCCAGCCCTTGTTTCCAGCCCAGCCGCAGCTGGGAGCGAGCTCCCGTGGAGGAGTGTCCATCGAGGGAAGTTGGCAGCTGCTGCTCCAGTCACTCTGTAGGGCTGGCTGTGAGGGGAGCCCACAGCAGCCTCTCGGCCAGTCTGTGCCAGCAGGCGCAGCGGCGGCTGCAGCCACTGGGCACCGTCAGGCAGCCAGCGGGGCACAGTCCTCACCCCTGGCACATGCCGTCCGGGCGAAGCCTGGACCGAAAGGTCCTCCTGTCCCAGAGCAGGTGCTGTGGGTTTGGGCAGGGTTAATGGTGCCACTGGGGGAGGCTGAGGGCTCCTGATGCAGCATTAACACCGCCCCGGAGTGGCCTGTGCAGAGCTCTGGACTGGGGGCGCTGGCTAGGCAGCTCTCTCCGGGCCTTCTGCTGCCCACGGCCTGTTACCTGTGTCAGCACCCTGCTGGGCCCTGTCCCCCGACCCCCCCCGGCTCCACGCCTGCCTGGGCTGGTTATCGGCGGGCGCTGATAACAATAATTCGCCGTCCAGCCGGCGTGCGGCAAAGTGCTGCTCTTCGCCTGCATTGACTTAGTGAAATTATAGACTCTGCCGCTCCCTCCCAGCACAGCCTGCTTGATATTCTGTGTTCGCAGGCCCTTTCTGCGCTGCGCTCAGCTCTCCCTCGCCGTATTTTCCTGCCGTTATTCCCCTTCTCCTCTCTCTGGCGGGGCCATAAATATGCAGCGGATGGCTCAGCTGCTGGGAAGGATCGAGTCTATTTTTTCTCAGCGTTACAGGCTGTAATTACTTCACACAAAGTTAAATCTATTTTTCCAATTCGCCAAAGCCCCACGATTGTTCTGCCCCCTCCCTCGCCCGGGGGAAACGGCTCCTCCGTTCTCCCCCCGCCCTTGCCCCCTCATGTAAATGCATGGCGCTGGGTTCGTTTGTTCCATTAGCGCTCAGTGGGAAGCGACGGGGCGGCGCTCGCTCCCGAGCCGGGCTGGGTAATTGCCGCTCTCTGCTGCGATTATTCTTGACGAGTGAATATTGATTCTGTCAGGGCTGCCGTCTCCCCGTCACCTGCTGCGGGGAGGGAAGGTGGGCGTGGGAGGGGGCCAGCGCGGGGACTCAGCAGCCCTCGGTTGAGCCGCCCCTGCTCTGGGCAGGGCACCCGGGAGCCGCTGTGGCTTGGCAGGGCCGTGATGACTGGCTCACACCTGGGGTGGCGGTTGAGGTGGCCTGGTCCTAGAAGGTCCAAATGTCCCTGCTGATCTCGAGGGGAGCCAGGATTCCTGGGTTCTGTTCCCTGCCCTGCCTGGGGATTGGGGTAACTGTGACCCCTGGAGGGGGAGCGTCCCTGCCTGACTGCGCCCCGTTCCCCATGGCCCCAGAGCCTGGCCAGCCGCCTGAAGGAGAACATGGAGAAGCTGACGGAGGAGCGGGACCAGCGCGCAGCCGCTGAGAACCGGGAGAAGGAGCAGAACAAGCGGCTGCAGCGTCAGCTGCGGGACACCAAGGAGGAGATGGGCGAGCTGGCCAAGAAGGAAGCCGAGGCCAGCCGCAAGAAGCATGAGCTGGTGAGGAAGCCTGGCCGGGGGCGAGGCAGGGGCAGCCAGCCCCCCCCCCCCCCCCCGCCCGGCCGTGCCCCCGCCCGGCCACCGGGGGCGCCGCCCCCGGGGGCCCCGGGGTGGGGGGAGAGACCCGCCCCCCCCCCCACCCGCTGACCTGCCAGTGCCCCCGACTGGCTACGGGGAGCGCCGCCCCAGTGTGCCCAGGGATGGGAGCAGAGACCAGCCAGCCCCCACCCCACCCCCGACTGGCTACAGGGAGCGCCGCCCCAGTGTGCCCAGGGATGGGAGCAGAGACCAGCCGGGACTCCCCTGTCGGGGTTGGATGCGCAGCCTTAAGTATATGGGTCATGCCACTGATCCCCGAACATCGCTATGAAACCAGGCTGGTTAGCGTAGGTCCTACCCATAAACAGAGCCTGGCAGGGGAAACTGGGAGCTGGGCATCTTGAGAACAGTCCTTTAAAAATGGGAGATGGGCTAAACCCGCCCCTGGTGTAACTGCCCCGGGGGAGGGGGGCAAACCCGCCCCTGGTGTAACTGCCCCGGGGGAGGGGGGCAAACCTGCCCCTGGTGTAACTGCCCCAGGGGAGGGGGGGGGCAAACCCGCCCCTGGTGTCACTGCCCTGTGACATGCTGGGCACACCTCTGGTCCCTCCCTGCCGGTGGACGGGACGGGTGCTGCGCTCCAGCTGTGGCTGCCCCGACTCCTCTGGGGGGTGACAGCCCATCACTGGGGTGGCTGTTCCCTGCGGCATGAGGCTGCAGCCGATGCTTACGGGCTTTGCTTCCCCCAAGGAAATGGACCTGGAGAGCCTGGAGGCCGCCAACCAGAGCCTGCAGTCGGACCTGAAGCTGGCGTTCAAGCGGATCGGGGACCTGCAGGCTGCCATCGAGGACGAGATGGAGAGCGACGACAACGAGGACCTCATCAACAGGTGGGAGCCGCGCGGTTCCCTGCCGGAGATCCCCCCACCCGCCAGGGCCCAGGAAACTCCCACATCCTGCTCAGTCCTTCCTAACAGACTGGACAGGGCTGCCCCATGGCGAGGCTGGTGGGTCCCCCATGGGCATGCTGCAGTCAGCCCCCCCCCCTTCCTCCAACCACGATCACCGATGCATCTCTGCACGGCGGGGTTTGAATGTGCCCGGGTAGCGGCTGGTCGGGTGCAGGGCTGCTCTGTGCCTGGTGGGGCTGGTTCTTTGCAGCAATTCAGGCAGGTCGGATCTTATCTTCCCCCTGCTCCAGTTCTCCCACTTCCCCTTGCCATAAAACGGGAGAGCAGCTTCTGTTTCCCGGAGACTTGGACATGATGGGACGAGCCGGTGCGCTCCTGTGTCCCTGGGGAGTCCCAGCTTTCTGACCGCAACAAAAGCTGCCGTAATTCCAGCCGGCCGGCCTTGGCCTCACATTGCCGCTTGCAGACCGAGCACTTGTTTATGGTGCTGGGTGCGTCCGCACCTGCCGAGAGTGGCTGGGAGGCGGGCTGGGCAAGTGGATCGAGCACTGGACTGGGACTCTGCCGCTGGCCTGCTGGGAAACTCTGGGCAAGTCATTTCACCTCTATGCCTCAGTTTCCCTGTCTGTTAAATGGGCGTATTGACACTGACCTTGGGAAAGTGTGTGGAGAGCAGTGGATGGAAAATGCTCTCGAAGACCTAGGTGTTATGATGGGGCACGCCTGCAGGGGAGCAGCTGAGTACTGCCTGCTGCGCCACCCCAGGAACCATCGTCAGAAAGCATCGCTAGCAACTCCAGTGCCCGCCGCAGGTGGCCGGGGCGCCGGGCTGGGGCTGGGGCTGGGGCTGCGCACTGAGACGCCGGACTCGCACTCAGCAGACCTGGGATCTGGCCCTGGCGCGCTGTAATCTGCAAGTGTGGGGAAGTGCGTTGGGCTCTCCCCACGGGAGACAGTGCCGCTGTCTGAGCTAGGGGCCGCCAACCCCTCCTCGTTACCCCCCTCCCCAGTTGTGCTCGTTGGTTTGCCCTGGTTCGTTTCTGTTGTGGTTTTGTTCCGTTTTGCCTCTTTAAGTTCATTTATTTTCTTTGTCCCCCTGCCCCCCCCCCCCCATTCTCAGTTTGCAGGACGTGGTGACAAAGTATCAGAAAAGAAAGAATAAACTGTGAGGATCTCAACTCTCCTCTCCAATTAAATAACCCCTTGTTCCTAACCCTGAGCATGCCTGGAAGGAGCCCGCCGCTGGGCCCTGCATGTCGCCCCCACAGCGCGCTCCATGCATGTGCACTAGCCCTAAATCTCTAACACCCCCCCGCCGGGCCGGGAGCCTCTCCATGCCACGAGGGACCAGTGCTGGAGCCACATCGCAGAGGCCCATAGCTGGAGGGGGGCTGTGTCACTGGGTGGGGGGTGCCCCGAGCCCCTGCAGCTCCTGGTTGGCTGGTTCGGGATGGCACCGTTGCATGCTGGGATTGGCAGTCTCCAGGGGCTGCGTTGAGCGTTCAGCCCGCAGGGCTCACTTCAGCCATGCCTGGAGCAGCTGTTCGCGTCACACCAGGCTCCGCAGGTAACGTTGCCAGCGTAACTGACAGGCTGCGCCTCTCCCCCGGGAGTCCCGGCAGCATCTTCCGTAGCCGCTCCTGGAACGGAGAGGAAATCAATTATAAATCTGGATGTCCTGGGAATATGATGAGACAATAACTCATCCCTTCTCCTCACAAGGCAACAGGCAAAGCTGTGCACACCTAGGACAAGTGTCCCCTGCCCCCAGAGTGACCACTCCCCCAGGCTCCCTGTCCCTGAAGCCCCGTCAGATAAGCAGTGTGTTCGGCCTGGGAACAGACAGATAACAAAGAAGGTCCCCAATTGTTTGCCGTCTCAGTGGCTCCTGACCTCTCCAAAGCCAGAACAGCGCCCCCAGTGGGGGATCAGGCCCCAGTGCAGCAGCTGGCAGGGAGTGGGGATTTGTGGGGCGTGGATATTGGTCGTTTGGTTTCAGATGCCATGCTGGGTCAGAGCAGCTGGGCTGGTCTCCTGCCTTTGGCATTGGCTGATAAGTGATGCTTCAGAGGAAAGTATAAAGCCCCATGATGCACCTGGCCAGTGGAGCAATTGCGTGTGGATGAGAGTGAGTCATTCCCTTGCCCAGCCGCGATGCCCTGAAGCCCGAGGTTTAGTGATTACAAATGGTGCCGCTGGGAATGTCTGGTCTGTCTGGGGCGTCTTCGCTGTCCCTCGATCCCTCACAGGCTCCGCCAGGTTGTAGGGAGAGGAGAGAAGTGTGGAAGCATGTGGAGGGAGTGCCATTAGGTGCTGCCCTGCCCCAGCGGCTCTGTGCTGTGCCGGGCTAGGTGTGCCTTGCAGAGCCTTCCTTTATTTCACAGGCCCTGGGTTTGAAGACGAGGGGTCAGAGGCTTGGGTGTCTCTGGACTGGCTTTGCCAGTGAGGTCTCTTTCCTGAGCCAGGAGGGGCTGTTGGTTGTGAAAGGATCTATAACAGCTAATGATAAATGTAATCGTGTGTAACAGTGATAGAGGGCCACTGGAGCCTTGTTGTCACACACAATTAATATCCTCCGCAGCTCAGGCTCCGTTTGTTTGTTCCCTTGTGATTTGGATCCCAGTTAACTAATGGCACACTAGTCTGGACATAAATTGTGTTTGACATCAAGTTTAATTCCGACGATTTAAAATCTCAGCTGCCCCCAGAGTTTGTTTATGAGGCTTATTGTTTTTAAGGAAAATAACCAAGCGTTGCCTGCGCTATATTGCAGAGGAGGGAGACGTTTGTATGATCAAGTGCAGTCCATTGCTTTGAATTTAACAAGGAGAATTCATAGTCAGGGTCTATAATAGCCCGTCCCCTGTGCGATTCCGCCCCATGCTCCCCAGGCAGAGAAGAGCCCTAAGGCTAGGCAGATAAAATGCTCATTTAAGATCACATTATATATCTGTTCCCAGGCACACTTGCAATTCTAACAAAGTTACCTTGGGTTCCCGAGAGACTTCCTTCCCTTTTACCAGCAGTTAGTGCTGGGGGAAGCCAGGGCAGAGTTATTGAGCTGAGTGAGATGGGAAGGAAAATAATGTTTCGATTTACTTATAGATACAGTTGTTATTGCTATAACCCTAATGAAAGCAGTAAACAGTTATGTATTAACAGAGATTTATACAGAACTGCTTCTAACATGGAGAGAGAGATTTTGCAGTGCATACAGCACCTTCTTTCTACAGGCAATCAATAGGGTTATGAACGGTGGTTATAAATTCGCTGTTTTAAGCCAGATCGGGCTTTCTTTATGTGTGTGTATAAATCAGGCAGCTCTGTCGTTACGGAGGGGCTCGCCTGCCACTGTAAATCTGCCCGCCACACTTGGGCACCCAGCCTGCCAGAGTCATTTCCGTTCTGTCTGCTAAACTCCTGTTTACCCAGAGACATCAACATAGCTCTTCCTTGCTGTAATTTTGCACTTGATGGAGGCCTATAAAATGAGCCCACTTATTTCCCTCCCAACCCTCTGCTCTTTGCAGATTTGAAATTTCATTCCTCCCAGAATTGCAGCCTGTTTCTTGCTTTTCTTTCTCCCCTTCGTTATTTATTCAGAGACATAATTCTGTAGAGAAGGGCCTCTCCTGCTGGTACGGATGAAAGGAAATTTATCCCCTGGGTTGGGGGGAAGCCCAGCAGATCCACAGTGAGGGACGTGTTGAACAATATTTTTCTAAATGTATACAAAGCATCCCAGCCTGCATCCCAAGCCACTCTCAGTGTAATCGCTGGGGGAAGCTGTGTGCAGAGCACAGCCCACTGGCTGGCCCCTGTTGTGCCCAGGACTAGTCTGCTGGGGTCACCGCTCCACCTTAAAAACACCGGGCTTGCCTAGCTGGCTGGCCCTAGCCACCCTGCTCCGTGAGCCACCAGCTCAGGTGTCCAAGGGTCATTCAGAGCCTCGTGTTGCAGCCGTCCCAACGTGCTTTTGCAGTGAGCGTGGGCAGTGCACGGGGCAGCTGCACCAGGGAATGAAGAATCGCACAACGTGCGGGGTCATTGGGTCCAGTTGAACAGAGGCCCGGTTTGGCTGCCCTTGGAGAAACTGTGTCCCTCAATCCCCTATTGCAGCCTGGGCATGTGTGTGTTCTCTGTCACATGCACGCAGTCCACAGCCCCCACTATCCCAGCCTGGGCTCCCCCTCCCCCGGCTCTGCCGGTGCCGCCCAATCCCAACCCACAGCCCCCCTGCTAGCCCAGCCCTGGCTCCTGCCTGCCCCCCTCCCACAGCTCTGCCGGTGCATCCCAGTGTTGACCTGCAGCAGCCCTTGCTGTTTCGCTCCCGGGTCTGTCTGGAGCAGAGATCAGTGTTCCAAATGGCAGGGTGATGTGCGTGCCGCCAAGTATCTCCTCTGTAAACTTTGCCTTATGTGCACACACAGCCCCGCAGGCCTGGTCCAATGTCCTTCTGGGAAGCATTTGGAAGCGTTGTTCCCTTTTCCTTCAGCTCCCTTTGCCTGTCTCCCGTTAGAGGGGGCCTTGGCTCTGAGCCCAGGGCTCTGATCGATCCAAGGGCGCAGCCGGTTCATAATATAGCGGCATTTAAATGAAACTAACGCAAGCCCTTTGCACAGAGTTCCTGTGTCTAATTGAGAGCACAATTGTGGAGATGTAAAATTGCTGGAGCAGGAAGAACTGCTCAGTAAAAGTGTCTGTCCAAGGTGTGGGCCTCGCCATGCTCCCTCATGGCCAGTTAGCCAGCGCACTGAGGGGGTGCGTTGCAGGGGGCTTGCCCTGCGGAGCCGGTTAATGTGGGGGGAGCAGCGCTTGGTGCACTGTGTATTGCTAAGCAGTGCTGGGCTTACTGCCTGTGCGTTAATTCATAGAGTGCTTTGGTCCCCCAGGCGTGCCTGGGAAGGCCAGCTCACTCCCTGCGCCAGGCCCTGACCATCCAACCGTGAAAACAGAACGTGACCTCAGCCAGCATCTGACATGTCTCTGAGGCGGGCAGAAGCAGCACTTGCTCATGGGTGGGGCACAGGAGAGGGAGCCAGGACTCCTGGGTGCTGTTCATCCCTCTGTCACCCACTCAGTCCCTGTCTGGGCACTGCCCCACCCCACAAGAAGTGGGTCTGGCGGCGGGAGATTTGCGGCGTCAGTGCCGTTGTGGCTGTGTTTCCAACGTGGGCAGGGCCGGTGCGCAGCCCGTTGGAGCTCTCTGAAGTCTAGGGAGGAGTGCGGCTTGCACTGCCCGCTCGTGGCCAGCTCGCAGCCGGGCTGGAGGTGTGGGAGATGGGCTTTGCTGGGAGTGAGTCACTCGACTCGGGGTCCAAGGCAGGATCCCTGCCCCAAGGGGGGCCGCACGTTCGCCAGGTCCTGCCCCACATCGAGGGATTGGGAGCCCCTTCCCCTGCCGGGCTGAGCCAGGAACGTTCTCCTGGGGGCGCGCGGGGCTGCCTGGCCAATGGGACAGGACTTTGGGTGGCCTGCCAGCGGGAGGCTCCGAGGTGCCAGTTGAGCCCGCGTTGCAGCGTGTCCTGGTCTGTAGGGCGGCACACTCAGACCCCTTTTGGCAGAGCCCGTAGCTGCATGGGGAGCCAGGCTGCCTGCCTCAGGCGCTAATCTCTCCCGCCGGATCTCTCCCTCTGGCAGCGAGGGGGACTCAGACATGGACTCGGAGCTGGAGGACCGTGTGGATGGAGTGAAATCGTGGCTTTCCAGGAACAAAGGCTCCTCCAAAGCAGTCTCTGATGACGGCAGCTGGAAGAGCTCCAGGTCAGTGTGGGATCAGCGTCCCCGGGGAAACAGCCACTTGCCATCGCTTCTCCCCATAGCCACCAGGCGGGGGCTGTCACCCAGCAGCTCTCACGGCGCTTCCCTTCCGGGGACCCCTGGCTCAGCAGCCCCGTGGGGGAGGGAGCTGGTCTCCGTCACTCGGTCGCTTGCTGGGTGCAGGGTTCGCCAGGGCTGGAGCAGCTGTGCCATCCAGGAGGGTGCCCCCCAGCAGCCAAGCACGGGTCGCTCCCCGCCACGTGCTGTCTGCAGGGAACACTGACCAATCAGGGCTGGGCCTGCAGCGATGGCTCCCACAGCTGGCCAGGAGCCAGCGTGATGCTGGTGGGCAGAGCAGTAAAAGTATCCCGCTTCCCCTGCTTTGTACCCCTGAGAGGCCAAGCCCACGGGGAGTGTGTATTGATCTCTGGATAGAGCACTCATTGCTATGGCAACTACGCGCATTGAATTTCAAACATATCAATCGGAAGGTACCAAAGATGTCTGAGCTGGAAGCGCTGGAGCCGCGACCGAGCCCCCGGTTCCCACTGCTCTGCCCCTTGGTTCGCTCAGCAGGTGGGATTGCTGTGAGCAGGGCCCTGTCCGTGGCTTTCCCCTGTGCCTCAGGGGAGCACCCGCGGGGCCTGGCACCCCTCGCCTGGAGAAGCGGATTGGAGCAGCTTCTCCTGGGGAAAGAGCTACCTGATGAGTACAGATTGGTTTGGTATAAAAGCAATTTCCTGCTCTGGATTCAGGGATCCCAGGGGCTTCTCCCCCCTCCACAGAGCCGAGGCTGTTTCTCTTAATTGGTTTAATTTATTCGGCGGTGCAGATGTAGAGCGTTTGGTGTTGGGGATAAGTTGGCTATCAAAGGCGGCGGCTCCAGGTAGTTGACAATGAAATAATTGAATGAAACGTTTTAAAGGGGGATAAAAGCGATGGGATAGAACAATACCCTCATTTGCATGACATTTCCCAGGAAGCTGTTTTCCACTGATGCAAATTATTTAGCTAGGTTTGCTCTGCTGCCTTCTTCTCTCCTTTGCCCGGTGTCTCTCTCTGATCTCACCTGCTCTCTCTCTCTCCCCCCTCCCTCCCCATTTGCTGCTGTCCACTGGTCACTCTCCTCAGGCCGGCCCTGAACTCGGCCCCTAAGGAGGGGAAGGAAGGCAGAGAGCCCAAGGAGGCCGAGGAGCGGCCGGTCTCTGTCATGAGCTCCCTGAGCTACAGGAAACGGCTCAACCTGAAGGACTCTATTGGTGGCCAGGGGGACGAGGAGACACTCTTCTCCACCCTGAGCGAGCGGCCGGCCTCCCCAGACAGGTCTTTCCGCAAGGCCAAGCGCAGCTCGGCAGCCAGCGGCCAGGAGGAGACCGGCTCCGTCAGCTCGTGGAAGAAGGCCCCAAGCAGCGAGGACCCTGATGACAGGGGCTCTGTCATCTCACAAGCCTTCTCGGAGGCCAGCAGCAGAGCCCGGAAGGGGCTGGAGAAGAGGTGGTCTGTCACCACAGCTGACTTTGACCAGGCCTCTGCCCTGTCCGCCCCAGCCAGCCGGGCTGCCTCCTCCCGGCACGGGCTGGAGGCTGACGAGGCCGACGCTAGGTCCACACTGAGCTTCACGCTTTCAAGCCCGGGCAGCTTGCGGCGCAGCACGTCCCGGCTCAGCGAGCCGCTGGCTGGCATCTCCAGTGCCCTCAGCCCGCCACTGAGCCACCGGGCAGAGCTGGGGCTGGAGACCTCGACCCTGGGCAGCCGGGTCGACTCCCGGCTCTCCCTGAGCAGGAGCCGGCTGGATGAGTTGGATGACGTGTCTAGCGTGGCTCTGAGCGACACCCGCTCCCTGTACAGCCAGCATTCGCTCGGGCGCAGCTTCTCCGTGCCCCCCCAGCCCAGGACCTCCGCCTCCAACGAGATGCAGCCGGAGGACTCGGACATCCGGCCCGTCAGCCACCGCTCCTACCTGGACCCTGACCTGGAGGCTGCCATCAACGAGGTCCTCAACTACAAGCCCATCAAGTTCAAGCGCTCCAGCTTGGACCCGGACTCGGAGGAGGACAAGAGGAGCGTGCGGAGCGCCAGGAGCGCCACACGGCCGGAGAGCTCGGAGCGCTCCTTCAGCAGCCTGCGCCGCTCCGCCTCGGCCTTGGACTGCTCCCGGCCGCACAGCAGCAAGGGCCGGAGGAGCAGCAGCAGCTCCGAAGATGACTCCTCGGAGGAGGAGCGCAAGAAGAGCGCCAGGAAACACGCCAAGAAGAAGTCCAAGAAGAAGTCCAAGAAGAAGAAGCTGCCTTCGGATTCGGAGTCCTCCTCGGACTCCTCGTCCAGCTCCTACCACAGCAGCTCCAGCGTCAAGAAGGGCCCCAAGAAGAAGAGCCCAGCCTCCGAAGGGGAGGGAGCCACAGAGGGGAGGGACGCCGAGAAATCAAGCAAGCGCCTGAAGAAGGAGGAGAAGAAGCGGAAGAAGCAGGTGGACAGCCTGATGATGAAATACCTCTACCGGCCCGAGAGCGACTAAGGCAGTAGGTGCCGAGTGGTGTGCAGTGCAGCATGCCAGCATGCCCGTGTGCCACTAACCCCAGTCACCCTCCACTCCCTGCTGCCCCTAACCCCTCGCCCCAGCCCACCCGGGCAGCATGTCTCTAGCTCGGGGAATGCCTCTGAACTCACTGCCCCGCTCCGCCCCACAGCTGCCCGAGCCCAGCTAAGCCGGCTACTCCAGATAAATCAGTCACGCTGGGAAACCCAAATGGCCTCGGGCAGGGCGGCTCAGCAGCTGATTTACCATGCGGGGGGAGGGAGGGGGGCTGTAATCCCGCCAGCCCGACACTGCTCGGAGAGGGGTGTGCTGGTGGCATTGGGGCACTCTGGGGTTTGCAGGCCCTGAATTACTAACCCTGCCAGGGCTGAGCCTGGCATGGGCCCCACCTCCGTCCGTCAGCCCGCTCCTCCCCACTGCTGCATTGAAGCCGCCTGTGTTCAGCATGAGGCCACATCACTGCTGTGGGGTTTGGCCGGCGCTGCCGCTTGGCAGAGACGGGCCCGTTTGGAAACCTGCCGGAAAAGGACGCAGCTCCAGCTGCTGCAGCGTAGGGCTCCCCTGTGTAACTCGCTGTGGGGTGAGGCGTGGGGCCTGCCTTTGGCTTCCATACACTCCCGTGTCAATGCAACCCAGGCAAAGCCAGCGGGAGCACAGAGCGCTGGCAATAGTCACAAAGGGTTTTTGCTGCTAGTGTCTCCCTTCCAGGGATTAGCGGCTGGCGCGCGCAGGACACTGAGAAGCATTAATCCCTCCCGGCCTTTCAGAAACCGCTAAGTATGCGGCTGTATTTATTTCTCCTGAAATTAATGGGTCACAGTGCATTGCAGGATCCCCCGCTCCCGGTTCAGACCGGGGATTAGTTACTGCAGGAAAGACGAGCATCAGGCTGTATATATAAAGGCCCTAACGAGGCGCATGTGCTGCCAGAATAAACCTGCCGTGGCTTGAACAGCTCCCACACCCCACCACTGCAGACCCTCTGCAGTCTCATGGGCAAACTTGAAAAGGCCATGGAAATCATCAGATGTCTTCATGCCCTGCCCTCTTGCTCTCTCCCTGCCGGCCTGTCGGAAGCATACTGACTGCTTCTGGGGTGTTGTAACTCCGAGCCAGCAGCACCCACGCTGGCCCCAGCTGAGGGCTCCTTGGCACCCTTAGAGATGAGGCAGCTGGACACAGAGCCCGTGGTTCTCTCAAGCTCCCACACTGACTGTGCTGTGTAATGTCATGCACCGCGCCTCCACCACGTGGTGAGAGACAAGGCTGCTTGTCACCAAGATGGGACAGTGCAGGCGTCCCAGAGCTCAGGGGTGTTCAGCTCAAGGGTGCCGGTTCAGAGCCATCGCTGCGTAAAGCAGAACCAGCTGCAGCTACCATCAGCTCCGATATAGAGAATGGCCAGGAGAGACTACACATCCCAGCATGCAGTGCTGCTCCAATCAAGCTGGTGCCTGTCATGCTGCGATCTGTCATCTCAGCTCTGTAAGGAGGAGGTGGCGCCACGGGCTGGTTCACAGCCCCCTTGGGCCGCCCTGTGTCAGAGTCCCCTTTCACAGAGCTCTTCCCCCCGCTTTTGGGATTCCAGGCAGAGTGGTTTACTGGGGGGTGCTTTGAGATTCCCCTTGGCCCACTGAGGGCCGGGGGTGCTCACCATGTGATTGCTGCTGCTGAGTTTCCGTCTGAGCCAGGGGATGTTACTCGTGCACACCGACGGGCTTGGCCTCCCTCCCAGCACCCTGGACAATGGGCTAGATTGCGCCCCCATCTCCTGCGCGGGGACTGTGGGCTTGGAAGCCTCCAGCAGAATAGCATGCATATGCAGGGAGCCCCCTGCCCAGGCCGGAGTTACTGCCACACCCGTTGCCAGGTGTGTGTTGTGTGAGGCGGGGGGGGGGGGCAGCCGTGTGTGTGACTGCAGCTTCGTGAGCGGCACTGTGTCCAAGGGCGAGGCGGGGTGAGAGTCGCTGGGCTCTAGGCCCTGCCCTGGGCACTTCCCCTGGAAATGGAAAACTCTCCGTGAATTCCTCCCGCTGGGGATGGGGCCGTGTGATTCTCCCCAGACGTCCCATGAGCAAACCCGGTGTGGTGCTGCGCACGGAAAGCAGGCAGTGCCATGGGCCCCTGGGCATTCCCTGTGGGCTAGGAGTCGTCACTTGCCCTCTTCTGTGTAGCCCCCCAATTCCCTGACCGTTCTGGGATTAATGGGGCAGCTGGTTACCTCGAAAGAGAGACACCCCCTCGCACAGGTACATATGGCATGGTGCGGGAGTGGGGCACTGCTCTGGCTGACTGGCTGGGCTCCCTGGAGGACCAGGGCCTTGTTCTGTAGCTCTGGTCACTTTTGGGTTCTTTCTTAAGCAAGCAGTTGGGTGGGAGATGTGGAGGGATGAGCCGGAAGTGGCTGGGCTCGGGCAGTGCCGAATGGTTCCAGGGCCATGCCCCAGGAGCCCACGTTCGGCAGCACAGCTGTGCTTTTTTAGCTCACAGGAGGAATGTGGGTTAAAGCTGCTGAATGCTCATCTCAGGCAGGTGTTGTGGGGTCACTGCCCCCCCAGGATTGTTGGAGGGACCCAGCACTTGGCATATGACACAATCTGGGTATTGAAATGGCGGCATTTCCAGCTAGCTCCCCACCCCGGTCAGGGCGCAGGTTGTGTTAGGCTGTCACTAGTCCGGCAGCCAGGGGGGAGCCGCTCCCTTTGCTCCTGGTGGGCACCCGGGGGCTAGGTGGGAGATCTGCAGGAGAGGCCAGTCAGGAACCGCAGCTCTGGGAAGGCTGTGCAAGGAGGGGGAAGGGAAGCGACTGCGGTCGGGGTTAGGGTTTTTTCTAGCAGGAATTTATTTGTGTATTAAATTGTTTCCGACAGCTTTGAATGGGAGAATTATCTGAGAAGGAAAGAAGCTTTTTAAACAATTCTTTTAAAGTGTTCAATTGCTGGAACAATCCCCTGCAGCTGGGGCTGCCGCGTTGCTTGTTTGTAACGTGTGTGATGTCGGAGCTGCCGTAACAGCAATGGAGGGGGCAGTTTCTCTTGTCTGACCAAGTCTGGCATTAAAGGGTTTGAATCAGCGGCTGCGCTCAGAGGGGACGTAAGCAGGGGAAGGCGCAGGCTGGTAGAGGTGAGGGGAAGGGGTGTGAACGCTCCATGACTGGTGAGCAGGACAGATTAACAGGCAGTGACGGATAATGTAGCCTCGCACCTTCGTTCGCCGCCTTGAATAGAAATGAAATCCACTTGTGAGCTCCCCCAGGTCACCTGGACTGGGTGGCTGCGCTGGGTTCCCGGAGCTGGGCGAATAGGCAGGGAAATGTCTGTAGATGTTGGATGGGAAGATGAGGTTGGGTTTGTCGGCACACTCACCCCACAGACCCTCCAGCGGACGAGTTTCTCTAGCACAGACACTCACAGGAAGCAAATTTCAAGTGTGAATATTTGCTGATGGCAAAGCCCTTATTTAAAATTTGCGCTGTTGCTTAGTAACCATTATCCAATCAGGAAACTGAAATGGTCCCATATGACCTAAGTAACTGCCTACCCAGCGCAAAGTTCAAAATTCAAATAGTGAATTTTCTCGTCTGCAATTTCTTTTCACAGGGAAAAAATAGGTACAAAACTTTAAATAATGGACGAATTCTGCAATTTCACAGTCTTCTCGCAAACGCTTCCTGAGCAGATAGAGGTGCAATTCAACAAATGCATGATTTGTTGCAGATTACTTGCTTAGCTCTGCTAACTCCAGGGGAGAGTAAATCTCTCTAAATGGTCTGAAAATGTCTTAAAAATAATAAAAAAGACTAATGAGCCCTCGTAAAGAAAGCTGCCAGGTTGACAGTCTGTGGTGGCAGAAGCAGTCCTGGGGGAATGCAGCTTCCATGTCAACACACAACTCTCCCAATTATCCGGAGCTGAATGCTAGTACTTAAAAACCACTACCACCCCCACCACACACACATACACGCATACACAAACACAACCAGCTTTTGGGAATAACAGAAACTTTGAACGCCTCCTCCTTGCCCCTGCATTCCAGTGGGAGCGGCCATCCCTCTGTCTGTCCAGCAAAAGGCCCAGCTGGAGCCAGGAACTCTGGTGCTGATCTGCTGGGTGTTCTTGGCAATTCAGGGAGTCCCTGGCCAGAAGGGAGCACTGTGATCATGGAGTCTGACCTGCCCCAATGAGATTCCTAAGGCAGAGCTGCAAGAAAAATATCCAGTTGGGATTTTAAAATGGTCAGGGATGGAGCATTCTTCCTTCGCCCCCTCCCCAGCCCCGCCCCTGGGTAAATTGTCCCAGTGATTAATTCCTCTCACCCGTACAAACGTACGCCTTATTGCCAGTCTTTGTTTAGCTTCAGGTTCCAGCCATTGGACCCTGTTAGACCTGCCTCTGCTCGGCTTAACAGCCCAGGATCGAATATTTGTTCCCCATGTAGGCACCTCTAGGTTAAACAAGTCACCCCTTAACCTTCTGTTTGTTCAGCTATATAGACTGAGCCCCTCTCGGCATTCTAAGGCAGGTTTGCTAATCCTTCCATCGTTCTTGTGGTTCTTCTCTGAACCTTCTCCCATTTATCAACATCCTTCTGGAATTGCGGGCCACGGGATTCCAGCAGCAGTCACTAGAGGTAAAACCACCTCTCTGCTCCTACTGCAGAGTCCCCTGTTCATATATCCAAGGGTCGCATTAGCTGTTTTGGCCACACAACCCCTATGTCCTTTTCAGAGTCCCCCATCCTGTAAATATGGCCTGCCACCTTTGCTGCTAGGTGTATTCATTTACAGTTAGACATAGTACAGCACATTATCTGCATGCACCCAGCTTACCAGGTGAGCCAGGTCGCTCTGGATCAGTGACCTGTCCTCATTACACTCCCCCCATTTTTGTGTCATCTGCAAACTTTATCAGTGATGATTTTATGTTTTCTATTGATAAAAATGTTAACTAGCGCAGGACCCCACTAAAAACTCACCCGCTCGATGACGATTCCGTATTTCGAGGCCTGTCCGGTAGCCAGCTTTTAATCCATGTAACCTGTGCCAGCTTAATTTGATAGCTTTCTAGTTTTTAATCTAAATGTCATGCAGTACCAAACCAAACACCTTAGAGAATCTACGAATATGACGTCAACACTATGACCTTTATCAGCCAAACCTGTACTCATGTCAAAAAGAGAGATCCAATTAGTTTGAGCAGGCCTATTTCCCATATAATTAATTATATTACCCTCCTGTAATTCTTCATTAATCAAGTCCTGTGTCAGGGGCTCCATTATCTTGCCTGGGATCGATGTCAGGTTGATAGGCCTATAATGACCCTGGTCATCCCATTTACTCTTTTAAAAAATTGCTTTCTTCCATTTTCTGGACACTTCCCCAGTGCTCCAGGACTTATTGAAAATCCAAACTCCAGCAAGCTCCTCAGCCAGCTCTTTTAAAACTCTTGGATACAAGTCCATTCCCTCCTTTCTGCCTGTTTCCCAATCTATAAAGTGGGCCCCTGTCTCAGAGCAGGGTCTGGGTAGTACCGGATACGGCCCTGCTGGTATCTTGGTCCAGTGTGGAGTACTGGAGGAGAGACGGCAGTGCCAGCAGTGCAAGATCCTTGGGTGTATCTGCTGTTGTCTCTGTCGGATGCTCACAGGGACATGTGATGGCAGCCCTGCTTAGCTGCTCCCGGGCCCAAGGCAGGGCAGAGCGCATGGGCAGGGCTCCTAGTGCTGTTCTGAGATGTGTCCCAGTGCCCAGTAAATGTTGGGACGTAGTAGTAAGGCTCGGTCTCCCTGGCATCCCTTTGGTCTGAGGTCTAAAGCCCTTTGCAGATGTTAGTTACTCCTCACCCCATGGCTGGTACCCCTGATTGCAACTGGGAAACTGAGGCAGAGCCCAATCCCAAGAGCCTGCGCTTGGGCCACTAAAGGACAGCCCATCCCCTAACATCTGGGTGTTCTCCAGGGGTGGGGGCAGGCTGTGCCGGTGGGCTCTCCCCACAACGGACGTGCCCCCTCGCTATCTCACTCCTCGGGGCTCCGGCTGACTGGCTGCAGTGCCTGGGGGCCCGTGCTCAGGGTTGGGAGAAGGGGGCACTAGGAGGTGGCGGTGCAGAAGGCTGCGTACAGGAGCAGAGCTGCGCCAGGGAGTTCGGATGCCTGCGAGTTCGGCTGGCCATCAGCACAGGATAATAACGCACTGAACCGGGAGACACACATGGGCCCGCCCAGCCCTGTGCTGCCAAAGGGCCCCTTCCCCTCTGGGGCGGGCCCATGCCGCGCCACACAGGCCCCCCAACTCCCTATGCCCAGCCTCCCCCAGACCTGCTTTGCCGAGCGCCTCTCCTGCCCACAGCCCCACTACTGCCCAGTGCCCTGCAGGCCACCATCCCTGCCCAGCACCCCACACAGACCCCCCACTGCCCAGCACCCACCAACAACCCCCCACTGCCTAGCACTCCAAAAAACAGAAACCTCTCCCACTGCCCAGCACCTCCCCACAGAGACCCACCCCCATGCCCTGCCCCCTGGCCACACCCCTCGGCCCTACTGAGCCAGCGCAGAGCAGGGATCCCCCTCCCAGCACAGTCCTAGGGGGCAGAACAGCTGAAGCTTGGGAGCACAGAGCGGTCCCAGCCCTACCTGCCTGGCGCTGGTGCCCGCGGTGGAGAAGAGGCGTTTCCTTGCAGGGGCGGGGCAGCCACCAACTTCCCCAGCCCGCTGCTTCTGCTGAGCGAGCCCTGAGGCCCGCCCGGGTGATTTAAAATGGCCCGGGGCTCCCGGCCACCGCTACCGCAGCAATGGTGGCAGCTGGGGGCCCCCAGGACCTTTTAAATCACCCGGGCCCCTGGGCAATTGCCCCCTTTGCCCCCCTCTGTTGGCAGGCCTGCCTGCATGGGGGGGGCAAGTGGGGGGGCCTTCTCATTCCTGAATGGCGCCAGGGAGCTGGGTGCTGGGGAAAGCCTGGTGGCCTGCTCCTCTGAGCCCCCCCTCCCAGGATAAGAGCCCTCGTGTGCCTGCGGGGACTGCCCACCAGGGCCCAGTCACTCAACTGGCCTCCAACCCACTTTCCAGCAGCATGGCCTGGCCTCCCTGCTGCCCAGCCGAGGCTCTGAGGTTTGGGGGTTTGGATCTGAGCCCCGGGGTGGGCGTTGGAAGAAGCCCAGCCCCATAGGGGGGAGCACTGCTGCCCAAGGCAGGGCCTGACATGCATCTCCGAGGTGATGTCTGCTCTTCCCTGGTTGTTTGCTAACCTTGTTCCCTCCGTGCAGCCCCCCAGGCTACCGCCGGCAGTTCGCCTGTGACAAATCGGAGGAGGAGCGAGCCCCTTTGGAAAGCATGCCCAGGTCCAGGGACTCCTCCAGGGGCTACCTGAGTGACAGCGACACAGAGAGCAAGCCAGCAGAGACCTCAGCATAGCCCGGGAGGCTGCCTGGAGGGACGCATTTTCCACAGCCTCAGAAATACTCTGCCTCGCAGATCCGTGAGCCAGCCCACGCCAGGCCTTGGCGACCCTCAGACTGGCCTCCAGAGAACTCCTGGCGGCCCCTCGACAAGCGCCTTGCCTGGGAAATGCTGCGTTTACAGATTGTCACCACCTCCGCTGTCTTGTATGCACCCAGGATTTCCTGCATGGTGGAAAATGTTAATCTAAAGCCCTCTTCTCCAACCCCTCCCTCAGAGCGACCGCAGACCTGTCTGCGCCTCGCCGGCCGACAGCAGCTGCAATACCCTCGGATGGGGTGAGCTGGCACCTCCGGACCGGACTGGTCAGTGTTCCTTCCCCGAGGTCCTGCCAGCTTGCCCCACCCCGCGCAACCCCCATGCTGCTCCAGCCTGGGGACTGCTCCATTCTCAGTGGAGGGGAAGCTGAGCTGGTCTTCAGGGGCTTTTTTCGTCCTCAGTGCCTGCTGTCTTTTTATTTTATAACTTAACCCCCCAGCCCGTGTGTGTCTGGGCCGACGGGAGGGGCCCTGGCAGCCCCCGTTTCCACTGTCACTCCTTCCTGTTCAGCTGAGCCAAAGGGGACGCTTTCTCACCTGGCTTAAAAAACCCAGCGAAGAATGAAGCTGGTTTCCCGGTGCAGCTGTCAGTGGGGATCTGCGTGTGACAGCACAGTCCAGGCACGCCTGGGTGTGCATCTCGCACACTCACGCTCACTCTGCTGCTGCATGTGGGGTTTCCTTGCACATTGTTTTCTGTTTCCCAGGCATGGCGATTGATTTTGAGTCATTTCTTTTTCCAGGGGCTGGTGCCTAGCACACAGTTTTGTTTAAAGTATCCTTGAAATAAAATGTACCCCTGCCCTTGTCCACACACATGTGCACACGCGCACACACACGGTGCCTGGAGAGTATACGTGGGCAGGCGCTCCACAGCACACCCACATTCATTCACACCCGCACTGTCTGCTGAGCCTGTGGGCAGGCGCTCCACAGCGCCTCCTCTGGTCACAGGGGGCCGGAGAGCCAGAATAACTGCATCTGCTCACTTGGGCGTGTGCCAGGGCTCTTCTCCGCAGCTGCCCCCCTTACTGACTCCACTGCCCTCGTCGATGCCAAGGAAGCGGCTTATCTCCCTCCAGGACTCAGTCCCCAGAGCCAGCCGCGCAGGTACGGTCATCTCTGCTAACTTTTCAGTGGCTGGACTGGACACTGGAGCTGCCCAGCCCTGCCTGTCTGGTTTGCACTAGTTCGGCTGTGTGTCTTTTCCTATCTGTTTAAATATTAAATGTCATTTATGGCTGGTGATGCCGGCTCCTCCCCTCAGGTTGTTTGTTGCTGCTGCCAGCAGGGGGAAGGGAGGGGAGGTGGGTGCTGGGTGTGGGGGCAGCACTTGGACAGGAAGTGGTGGTTTTCCTGCGGGTCAGCAGTGTGAAAGCTGCGCGGGGCGTGGAGCCTGCAGGGGCAAAGCGTCTGGGGAGGGATGGGGGGTGCAGTGATTTGAGTTAACCCAGCGTGGCAACAGCCCAGCTTCCCCCCCACGCCTATAACAGAGTGTGATTGTTCATGAACCAACCTCCAGGCTGCCATCCTGTGTGGCGGCTCCGCTCTCCCTCCCCATCCACCCCCAGGCGGTGTCACGGCCTGGCTCCTGGGCTTCCCTTGTGGGGCGAGCCTTGGCCGCGGTGCAGGCTCGTGTCTTGTGGCTTCCCTCTCAGGTCACCCAGCAGTCGGATGCTAAGTGCAGGGTCGGGCGCGTTCGCTCCCAGCGGCTAGTGAGGGGGCTGGAGTCCACCCCCAGCCAGGGCAGAGCTGCTCAGCTGTTGGAGCTCCCTGGGGTGGGCTGGGAGGTGCTGAGGCTGGGGGTGGGTGGCTGGCCGGCCAGGGGCAGCAGAGGCTCTGGCAGGGCTTTCAGGCCCAGCTGACCTGTGGCTGTCCTGGAGCTTTGCCTCCCGCTCCCTCCTATCCCCGAAGGCCCTCTTAGCCCGTCCTCCGCAGCCCCGTGCTGGAGCCTGGCTCTGTTAGTTCAGGGCCTAGCCACCAATTATCTCCCAGCGGCTGCCTGGGCCACTCCAACCCCTATGGCTGTTAGTACAGCTCGTGCCGCTGCGCCCTGCTCTGGGCTGGCATCCCCGGCCCGCTGGCTGGCGCTGGGGAGAGGAGCTGGGGATGGGGCTCGCCGGGTTTCAGGTGCCAGGTGCTGCAGGAGAAGAGCTGCCCAAGGAATGGGCAGGAAATCTCAGCCACAAATCTCGGCTTGTTTGGAGCAGATGGTGCGTGCCAAGCGCTCGGGCGCCGCGGGCTGATCCACCTGGCTGCTGCTCAGCGTAATCAGCCAGAGAAACACATCCCAGCGTGAGCAGCCCGCGCGGCTCAGCCCCCCAGCAGCCTCTGGCCCGTACACGAGCCAGGCGGGCTGGGCCAGGGGTTCGGCCTCTCAGTCAGGGCCTTGTGCCCCTCTCACCATCACAGCTGTGGCCCTTGCCTGCCTCTCTGCCCCTCAGTTCACCGACACGACAGGTCCCTCCCACCCCCGATCTCCCGAGCGCGCGGCCTCACCCCCTCCATCCCTGCTGATGTGGTAACCAGGCAAACCCCCTGCAGAGACAATAGCGCTGGGCCAGGCCTGAATGCCCATGTGCCAGGCCCTGCTTTGCCTCCCCTGGTCCTTGCAGTGAGTCCATCATCCCCGCACTCCTGTTGGGGGCCGGGTGTCTGTCACCAGGAACGCAGGACCCCTGGGGCCTTGCATGACAATGGAAGAGCCCCGGCCGGCAGCATCTCCTGCGCCGGGGCAAGGCCTCCTTTCTCCCTGCACGGGCTCTTCCCCCAGGCCCGAGCCCCCTGCTTTGTCTCCATGCCAGCCGCAGCCGGGTGCGCTCCCATTCCATTTCCTGCCTCCCCTAAGGTAGCGCCCGGCCCTTCTCTCCCATTGTCTCACCAAGGGCAGCCTTGATGGTTCGTTCACCCACCCCGACCTGCCTGCTGCCTCGTGACTCCTGCCCCAGCCCTAGGAAACTCTCCCTTCTCACCCAGGGGGCAGCGACAAGGAGTGAGGAAACCGTTTCTTTTCATGCTGCATTACCCCTGCTCTCCAGCGCAGGTGGGCGCTAGCTTCACGTGCCCAGGGCTGAGGCCAGCAGCCGTGCCTGGCGGTAGTGAAGTGCTGCGTGTCGCGGGGTCCCTGGGTGGCACCGTTGCTGGATGTCCTGGCCCATGCGGGCAAACCCTGGCTCTGGCTGGCACCAGCCCCAGCTGGGCTGCGTCCCGTGGCTCGGGGCTGAAAGGTGGCAGAGAGGGGAAGGGAGACATGGGGCCCGGCCTCTGGTCTGTTGTGGGGGTGAGCCCCGGGAGCGCCGCGCTGGGGCCGTTCGTGCCGCTGGTTGGAGTCAGTTTGGGCATCTTAAAGGGGTAATTGGCCGAACCCTCCCCAGGAACACGAGCACCAGGAAAGGGCGGAACAGAGCACGGCCCACCCCCCCACCCCCGGCCGCGCACATGCATGATTTATGGCTCGGCGCCTTTGCAGGATGCTTGGGAGAAAAAAATGTGCTGAATATTTGCTACGTGACACACGAGAGCTGCCGGCCGAGGGAAGCCAGCTCCACTGCAGCCCCCCCACCCTGCGCCCGCCCAGGGCTTCAGCCAGAAGCCTGGCTCCCTCCTGGCCCGCAGGGGAATGGGGCAGGCGGAGCTGGGGGGAGCAGCCGGGCACGTGGCAGAGGGAGGGAGGGAGGTGGTGTCCTGGGCTGGGGCAGCCTGCTTGCCCCCTAGTACTGTGCTCCAGGCCAATGGGCCAGCCCTCACTCACCCCAGCACGGCCATCTTCCTGGGGCCCTGTGGGGCCCGGAGCTCATCTGCTGCTCTCCTCTGCCCACACCTCGTCCCTTCACAGGCCCACCCCTGCTCTGCTGCCCACTCCTCGTCCCCTCCCGGGCCCCTGCCTGCCCTGCTGCCCATGGTGATTTGTGCTGACGTGTGTCGTCTGCTGCTTTCCCCCACCCCCCGTTTCCATCCCTCGCGGGCTCCTGGACACACGCAGCTGGGCTCCTCCCGTTAAGGCCGAGCCCAGCCGCATCCCCCGGCCCGGTTCTGCCTGGCTCTGGGGGAGGGGAGTGCAGGCAGCCCCTCCTGGCCACGCGGGAGCTTGGGAGGCTGGCTCAGGTGCTCCCCGTAGGCGGCACGCAGGGCCGGCGTTCCCTCCTCCCTGCATGGAGCCCGGCTGGCTCCCCACCCGCACAGCCAGGGCCCCGAGACGCCATTGTCATCAGCACTTGCTGCTGCTGTCACTTCCCCTGATTGCCTCTGCCATGGTGCATTAGCGCAGCTGCCTGCCAAAGGCTTCATTGCTGCCAGCCCGGTGGGAGCGGGAGGGGGGCCCTGGGCTGCCTCTGCATAGCCCGTACCAGCGGCCAAGCCCACGGGACAGAGCAGGCTGGGCTAGCCGGGACCCCCGGGATTCACCTGCACAGCTGGCACTGCCTCCCCATGGCTCAGAGCTCAGCCCCCAGCGCGCTGCCCCCTGGCCTGGCCTGGCCCTGCTCAGCCTAAAACTCCCACCCCCCAGCACGCTTTCTCCTGGCCTGACCCTGCCCTGCCCGGCCCAACCCCCCCACCCCCAACCCCCAGCGCGCTGCCCCCTGGCCTGGCCCTGCACTGCCCCCAGGCCCCCTGGCCTGGCTTGGCCCTGCCCGGCCCAACCCTCCCACCCCCCAGCGCGTTGCCCCGGCCTGGCCTTGCACTGTTGGATCCGATCCCACCCGCCCTGGGCCATGGGCTAGGGCAGCTCACCCCACGCAATGGGTGGGAGGGACTGGCCCAGCCTGGTTCCCCCTGGCTCCAGGCCTGCCCCACTTTCTGTGTCCCACTCCTGCTCAGGGGCAGGGGCTGAGGCAGAGGCTGCGTGTCCCCCCGC